TGCTGTTCTAAAAAAATCTAAATTTGGTTCAGAGTTGTAGCAGGAAGTTTCACGAGCAGGTGGTTTAGGAGTTTTTTGTATTCTTAATGGGATCAGAGGAGAGAAGCCTGCAGAATCTGGTGTTGGTGAGTTATCTGGCAGCCTCCTGTTCATAATCTGTTCTGTTCATGATGCCAGCAGCACCCCCTTTGTCTGCCTCTTTGATGATAATGTTAGAATTGTTTTTGAAGCGGTGTCCAGCATTGCGTTCTGCATGGCTGAGTTTGTGTGTTACATGTTGTTGTTTGCTGATAATGTCAGACCATGCACATTTGCAGAAGCAATCGATGTAGAAGTCAAGACTCTAGTTACAGCCATCAGGAGGGGTGGGATAGCCGTGTAAGTCTGTAACTAAAACTTAAAAAAACAGTCCTGCAGCACCTCAGAGTAACAAAAAATGTAGATGGCATCATGAGCTTTCATAGGCACAACCCACTTCTTCAGATGAATGGAATTAAGGAGTTCAGGGTCCAAATAAATAGCAGAAAAAGAGGGAATAGGGAGGAAAAGAGAAAGGCGGGGGGAAATGGAGAAAAAAAATATTGTCAATTAGTGTCCATGCTTAGTCTCTAAGGTGCTGCAGGACTATTCGCTGTTTAAGGGGTGTTCTTGAACAAACAGACAGACGAATACACTCTCTCAAATATATAGTAGATTATATGTAATTTACCACTATGCAATTGGGTACAGGATGCTACTTTCTCAGTGGTAATTACACAAGGTGTAAAGCTTAGGGATTTGACGGGGGTGGTGGTGGTGTATGTGTTGATTTGCTCTGGAGTTGTAGCAGGAAGTTTCATGAGCAGGTGGTTTAGGGGGTTTGAGAAAGGTCTTTGGGCAATATCCTGATGAAGATAAAAAGACTGGGCTTTGGCTACACGTGCCATTAACATGTTTTAATATTACAGTAAAACTCCAATTGTCCGGCATCCAGTAGTCTGGCACTCCCGATAGTCCGGCACGAACTGGAACCCAGAAGTGCTCCAGCCAGCCGGACAATTGGAGCTTCTCCGTGCTGCTTCCCCAAGTCCGTTGCTGCCATTGCTGAAACTGACCAGCAGCTGACTTGAGAAGCGGTGCGAAGCGAAGCAAAGCAGCTGGGGTGCTGCCCGGTTGGTCCCACAGTGCCGCCCCTCGCATAAGAATATAACATAAGAACATAAGAAATGGCCGACAGTGGCCAGCACCAGATGCCCCAGAGAGGGTGGACCGAAGACAATGATCAAGCGATTTATCTCCTGCCATCATTTGTCTCCTGCCATCCCTCTCCAGCCTCTGACAAACAGAGGTCAAGGACACCATTTTATCCCCTGGCTATTAGCCTTTTATGGACCTAACCTCCATGAAATTATCTAGCTTCTCTTTAAACTCTGTTATAGTCCTAGCCTTCACAGCCTCCTCTGGCAAGGAGTTCCACAGGTTGACTACACGCTGTGTGAAGAAGAACTTTCTTTTATTAGTTTTAAACCTCTACTCGGCGCCCGGCAGAACCCCAGCTGCTCTGCTCCGTACCACTTCCCCAGGTCCACCGCTGCCGCTGCTGAAACTGACGAGCGGCAGACTTGGGGAAGCCACAGGCAGAGCAGCTGGGGTGCTGCCGGGTTGGTCCCGCAGCAACGCTCAGGTGAGGGGCAGCGCTGTGAAACCAACCCGGCAGCACCCAAGCTGCTCTGCCCTGCCGCTTCTCCAAGTTGCGGCTGCCACTTGCAGCCCCTGCCACCGGCGGGTGTGCAGGACTTCCCCCGCCTCCCTGCAAAACGGCAGAGGGTTCACCCCACGCCGCGCCGTTCCCTACTGACTCCCTCCCAAGACCCGTCACAGCCCCCCTGCTGGAGTACCTCCTGATACTCCAGCATATTTGATAATCCGGCACCCCCTGGGTCCCAAAACTGCCGGATTATCGGAAGTTTACTGTATTTGTCTTAGGGAGGCACACAATTTCAGCATTCCCAACAGCACTGCTCAACCCAAGACCATTAGAAGACAGAGGCAAAAGTAACTTAATTTTTTCCACCACCCTGACACTCCAAGATGTACTACAGAAGATTGTGGAGGCCTTTGAACACTGAAATTTTAGGTGTGTTAAAGGGATCGTATGTAAAGTAACAACTATTAGGAATAACACAAAGGATTTTACCTCCAATTAAGTTTTCTTAACTTCCATGCCCATCACACATCTTTTACAACACATCTTTGCAAAAGGGCAAATGAAAATAGCTTTTAAAGACACTTTAAATGTGGGCAACCCAAAAAGTTGCAGCTCTGCTTTTTAGTCAAAGTCTCTCCTGGACTTCATACACAGATGAGGAAATGATTCTCATCACTGTCCAACCAGAAGAGTGAGAGGCATTATAAAAATAGACTGGCCTTTTATCTTTACTCTCCCTGCGTTAGCAGCAATCCAAAATAATCACATGCCACAAACCATGGAAGGAAACAAATATCCACTATGGGTGTGTCTAGACTACAGGGTTTTGTCAACAAAAGTGGACTTTTGTCGACAAAACTATACCTGCGTCCACACTGCCTTTGAGTTATGTCGACATAACGTCGACAAAACTCAGCAGTTTTGTCGACATATGTAAACCTCATTCTATGAGGAATAACGCCTTTTGTTGACAGAGTTCTGTCGATAGAAGGCATTATTGCATCTACACTGTCCTTTGCGTCCACACTGTTATGTCGACAAAGCGGCTTGCTTTGTCGACAGAACTGGATGTAGTCTAGACACTCTGTCGACAGAAGCTTTGTCGACAGTATCTGTCGACAAAACTTCTGTCGACAAAACCCTGTAGTCTAGACGTACCCTATCAGTCTCCCTTTCAAAAAGCATGCTCATTCTTACCTAGGTAGAGCCTGGCATCTCACAGCCTAACACAGAAGTCTTCCCAAAAAATAGAAAGCCAACATTACAAACATTTATAGTAATTTTGAAAAAAAAAAACCATAAACACCAAAACTCTATTTGTACATTCCAAACATGCAAACACAAGACATGGGATGGGGAGAACACTGGAGCTGGGACAATAATATATCCTTCCGACACCAAAAACGTGGGGGCAGGAAGCCGCCCCAGATCACGTAACAGGAACATGTTAACATGTGACCTTTGCTAAATTTTTAAAACTCTTCACTGAAAGCAGGCTTAGGAGGATTTGACTCCCCCGCCCCCCAGTAAATATTGATTTCACCATATTCATACAAACCAACAAATACCCCTTGCTGATCATTAACATTCGCAGGAAGGCAAAGCAAGAAAAATACTGCTAAAGAACTTAAAGTGCGACTTAAGGTTATTTAAATGATATATTTTGACATGTGGACTGTTGACCATTCCTCTTACAAAGCTTTAACTTAAAAAAAATCTTAGCATCTGCTGCCACAGTTTACTTGAGACTTCCAGCTTGCGCCACATGCAACCCTTTAAAGTTAAATAGCAAGGAAGAGGGGTTTTTTAAATCTTTAATTCAAAGAGATCTGTTTACAACTGGTTAGGTCTAAACGACTCTCTCTTATCGGAAAAAGCTACGCAAATTGTGCTCTGCAATTTGCATAGCTTTTTCCCATCGCTTTTCTGCCATTTAGCCCCGTCTAGAGGTATACAGGGCGCAGCAAAGGGGGGCAGGTGCCCCTGTCTAGAGGTTTAGCCCT